CTCGAGTGGTTGTCGTCACGTGTTTGAGTGTTTGTCTTCACATGATCTCGAGTGTTTGTCGTCACGTGTTTACGAGTGTTTGTCGTCACGTGTTCTCGAGTGTTTGTCGTCACGTGTTCTCGAGTGTTTGTAGTCACGTGTTCTCGAGTGTTTGTCGTCACGTGTTCACGAGTGTTTGTCGTCACGTGTTCACGAGTGTTTGTCGTCACGTGTTCGAGTGTTTGTCTTCACATGATCTCGAGTGTTTGTCGTCACGTGTTTACGAGTGTTTGTCATCACGTGTTCAGGAGTGTTTGTCGTCACGTGTTCGAGTGTTTGTCGTCACGTGTTCTCGAGTGTTTGTCGTCACGTGATCTCGAGTGTTTGTCGTCACGTGTTCTCGAGTGTTTGTCGTCACGTGTTCTCGAGTGTTTGTCGTCACGTGATCGAGTGTTTGTCGTCACGTGTTCACGAGTGTTTGGCATCACGTGTTCTCGAGTGTTTGTCGTCACGTGATCTCGAGTGTTTGTCGTCACGTGTTCTCGAGTGTTTGTCGTTACGTGTTCGAGTGTGTGTCGTCACGTGATCACGAGTGTTTGTCGTCACGTGTTCACGAGTGTTTGTCGTCACGTGTTCTGGAGTGTTTGTCGTCACGTGTTCTCGAGTGTTTGTAGTCACGTGTTCTCGAGTGTTTGTCGTCACGTGTTCACGAGTGTTTGTCGTCACGTGTTCACGAGTGTTTGTCGTCACGTGTTCGAGTGTTTGTCTTCACATGATCTCGAGTGTTTGTCATCACGTGTTTACGAGTGTTTGTCATCACGTGTTCACGAGTGTTTGTCGTCACGTGTTCGAGTGTTTGTCGTCACGTGTTCTCGAGTGTTTGTCGTCACGTGTTCGAGTGTTTGTCGTCACGTGTTCTCGAGTGTTTGTCGTCACGTGATCTCGAGTGGTTGTCGTCACGTGTTTGAGTGTTTGTCTTCACATGATCTCGAGTGTTTGTCGTCACGTGTTTACGAGTGTTTGTCGTCACGTGTTCTCGAGTGTTTGTCGTCACGTGTTCTCGAGTGTTTGTAGTCACGTGTTCTCGAGTGTTTGTCGTCACGTGTTCACGAGTGTTTGTCGTCACGTGTTCACGAGTGTTTGTCGTCACGTGTTCGAGTGTTTGTCTTCACATGATCTCGAGTGTTTGTCGTCACGTGTTTACGAGTGTTTGTCATCACGTGTTCAGGAGTGTTTGTCGTCACGTGTTCGAGTGTTTGTCGTCACGTGTTCTCGAGTGTTTGTCGTCACGTGATCTCGAGTGTTTGTCGTCACGTGTTCTCGAGTGTTTGTCGTCACGTGTTCTCGAGTGTTTGTCGTCACGTGATCGAGTGTTTGTCGTCACGTGTTCACGAGTGTTTGGCATCACGTGTTCTCGAGTGTTTGTCGTCACGTGATCTCGAGTGTTTGTCGTCACGTGTTCTCGAGTGTTTGTCGTTACGTGTTCGAGTGTGTGTCGTCACGTGATCACGAGTGTTTGTCGTCACGTGTTCACGAGTGTTTGTCGTCACGTGTTCTGGAGTGTTTGTCGTCACGTGTTCTCGAGTGTTTGTCATCACGTGTTCACGAGTGTTTGTCGTCACGTGATCATGAGTGTTTGTCGTCACGTGATCTCGAGTGTTTGTCGTCACGTGTTCTCGAGTGTTTGTCGTCACGTGTTCACGAGTGTTTGTCGTCACGTGTTCTCGAGTGTTTGTCGTCACGTATTCTCGAGTGTTTGTAGTCACGTGTTCTCGAGTGTTTGTCGTCACGTGTTCACGAGTGTTTGTCGTCACGTGATCTCGAGTGTTTGTCATCACGTGTTCACGAGTGTTTGTCGTCACGTGTTCGAGTGTTTGTCGTCACGTGTTCTCGAGTGTTTGTCGTCACGTGATCTCGAGTGTTTGTCGTCACGTGTTCTCGAGTGTTTGTCGTCACGTGTTCACGAGTGTTTGGCGTCACGTGTTCTCGAGTGTTTGTCGTCACGTGATCTCGAGTGTTTGTCGTCACGTGTTCTCGAGTGTTTGTCGTTACGTGTTCGAGTGTGTGTCGTCACGTGATCACGAGTGTTTGTCGTCACGTGTTCACGAGTGTTTGTCGTCACGTGTTCTGGAGTGTTTGTCGTCACGTGTTCTCGAGTGTTTGTCGTCACGTGTTCACGAGTGTTTGTCGTCACGTGATCATGAGTGTTTGTCGTCACGTGATCTCGAGTGTTTGTCGTCACGTGTTCTCGAGTGTTTGTCGTCACGTGTTCTCGAGTGTTTGTCGTCACGTGATCGAGTGTTTGTCGTCACGTGTTCACGAGTGTTTGGCGTCACGTGTTCTCGAGTGTTTGTCGTCACGTGATCTCGAGTGTTTATCGTCACGTGTTCTCGAGTGTTTGTCGTTACGTGTTCGAGTGTGTGTCGTCACGTGATCACGAGTGTTTGTCGTCACGTGTTCACGAGTGTTTGTCGTCACGTGTTCTGGAGTGTTTGTCGTCACGTGTTCTCGAGTGTTTGTCGTCACGTGTTCTCGAGTGTTTGTAGTCACGTGTTCTCGAGTGTTTGTCGTCACGTGTTCACGAGTGTTTGTCGTCACGTGATCTCGAGTGTTTGTCATCACGTGTTCACGAGTGTTTGTCGTCACGTGTTCGAGTGTTTGTCGTCACGTGTTCTCGAGTGTTTGTCCTCACTTGATCTCGAGTGTTTGTCGTCACGTGTTCTCGAGTGTTTGTCGTCACGTGTTCTCGAGTGTTTGTCGTCACGTGATCGAGTGTTTGTCGTCACGTGTTCACGAGTGTTTGGCATCTCGTGTTCTCGAGTGTTTGTCGTCACGTGATCTCGAGTGTTTGTCGTCACGTGTTCTCGAGTGTTTGTCGTTACGTGTTCGAGTGTGTGTCGTCACGTGATCACGAGTGTTTGTCGTCACGTGTTCACGAGTGTTTGTCGTCACGTGTTCTGGAGTGTTTGTCGTCACGTGTTCTCGAGTGTTTGTCGTCACGTGTTCACGAGTGTTTGTCGTCACGTGATCATGAGTGTTTGTCGTCACGTGATCTCGAGTGTTTGTCGTCACGTGTTCTCGAGTGTTTGTCGTCACGTGTTCACCAGTGTTTGTCGTCACGTGTTCTCGAATGTTCGTCGCAACGTGTTCTCGAGTGATTGTCGTCACGTGTTCATGAGTGTTTGTCGTCACGTGTTCGAGTGTTTGTCGTCACGTGATCTCGAGTGTTTGTCATCACGTGTTTGAGTGTTTGTCTTCACATGATCTCGAGTGTTTGTCGTCACGTGTTTACGAGTGTTTGTCGTCACGTGTTCTTGAGTGTTTGTCGTCACGTGTTCTCGAGTGTTTGTCGTCACGTGTTCTCGAGTGTTTGTCGTCACGTGTTCACGAGTGTTTGTCGTCACGTGTTCACGAGTGTTTGTCGTCACGTGTTCGAGTGTTTGTCTTCACATGATCTCGAGTGTTTGTCATCACGTGTTTACGAGTGTTTGTCATCACGTGTTCACGAGTGTTTGTCGTCACGTGTTCGAGTGTTTGTCGTCACGTGTTCTCGAGTGTTTGTCGTCACGTGTTCGAGTGTTTGTCGTCACGTGTTCTCGAGTGTTTGTCGTCACGTGATCTCGAGTGTTTGTCGTCACGTGTTTGAGTGTTTGTCTTCACATGATCTCGAGTGTTTGTCGTCACGTGTTTACGAGTGTTTGTCGTCACGTGTTCTCGAGTGTTTGTCGTCACGTGTTCTCGAGTGTTTGTAGTCACGTGTTCTCGAGTGTTTGTCGTCACGTGTTCACGAGTGTTTGTCGTCACGTGTTCACGAGTGTTTGTCGTCACGTGTTCGAGTGTTTGTCTTCACATGATCTCGAGTGTTTGTCGTCACGTGTTTACGAGTGTTTGTCATCACGTGTTCAGGAGTGTTTGTCGTCACGTGTTCGAGTGTTTGTCGTCACGTGTTCTCGAGTGTTTGTCGTCACGTGATCTCGAGTGTTTGTCGTCACGTGTTCTCGAGTGTTTGTCGTCACGTGTTCTCGAGTGTTTGTCGTCACGTGATCGAGTGTTTGTCGTCACGTGTTCACGAGTGTTTGGCATCACGTGTTCTCGAGTGTTTGTCGTCACGTGATCTCGAGTGTTTGTCGTCACGTGTTCTCGAGTGTTTTGTCGTACGTGTTCGAGTGTGTGTCGTCACGTGATCACGAGTGTTTGTCGTCACGTGTTCACGATGTTTGTCGTCACGTGTTCTGGAGTGTTTGTTCGTCACGTGTTCTCGAGTGTTTGTCATCACGTGTTCACGAGTGTTTGTCGTCACGTGATCATGAGTGTTTGTCGTCACGTGATCTCGAGTGTTTGTCGTCACGTGTTCTCGAGTGTTGTCGTCAAGTGTTCACGAGTGTTTGTCGTCACGTGTTCTCGAGTGTTTGTCGTCACGTATTCTCGAGTGTTTGTAGTCACGTGTTCTCGAGTGTTTGTCGTCACGTGTTCACGATGTGTTTGTCGT